CTTTCTGGCAAAAAACCTGTAAAAGTTTTACAAATTGTGTGCACTAGCTAGAAGTTGAATATTTTTGTTTACGTTTTGCACATTTAATCTACCTCTTAAAGCCAGACACCGTTGACAGACCAGTCTGCTTGGCAAAAATAATAATAATAATAATGTGAAAGTTTTACAAATTGTGTGCACTTGCTAGAAGTTGTATGTTTTATGTTTACATTTTGCACATTTAATTAGTTAGTCTTTCTGGGGGAAAAAAAAAAACTTGTGTTACAAATGGAGAAGAGCGCACACATAGCCCGTGTCTGTGAATGCTTCTCATACTCGCTCCTCTCTGCCCCACGCAGCCTGTCTCGTAATGCTCAGTTATACTCGCACCCGGCTCCACGAGCGCATCTGGCAGTATGGATGAGGCTTGACGAACGTGCACAACCTGTATCGATTCGCGCCTGGCTCCATGTTTAAAATGAATGTAAATTCAGTCTAACTGCTTTGCTAATTTCACTTGGATGAAATGAAACATTCAGCACATTTTCCACTTGTTCTTAAAATTAAAATGAATAAATCAGCCTATGTAACATATGTAATATTTTAATAATAGACTTAAGAAATAGTTGTTTATAAAGAATTTTCTGTGAAATTCAGTAATTAAGTTAATTCTGTAAAAGTAGTTATACCATTATAATCTTGCCTGCTGAAAAAAAACAAAAAAACAATAGAACCCCTCCCAAAACACTAAAAATGTAATGGATTTCAGGGTTATAATGGGAATTGTATTGGTTTTAATGTAAACTATAATGGTGTCTATTTGATGGATTCTATTGGTGGGATGTAATATGGCAGATGGCGGGTAATGATTTTTTTTCAGCAGGGTAATGATACCCATACTGTGCTGCACATTATTGACAATATTGAGCTGAAGCTTGACTTTGCAAATTAAAAATATCAAATCGCAATCGCAATATCTGTCAAAAAAAATAACACACACACACAAATCTATAATTCACTAACCTTCATTTCCTTGCGAAGGCGAACACTACTGACTTTGAAATGTGCAGTTGGGCCATCAGGAAGGTGACAGAGAATCAAACCATCTGTGATACTTTAAGTGAGGGAAAATCCTTCATGTAGCTTTCAGTGACTGCTTCTCATGACCTCATTAAGACGACGATTCAACAAAATCTCACAGATCTAAAAACGTGGTTATATACTGACATCTGAGCAAAGGATACTTGGCACCTTTCTGTCCTCATTGACCACAATCAGATAAGTGAAACCTCTAGATATACACTGTGGAATGACTCTCTTCAACGCCAGACCTCTTCTGTAATACACATGTGCATGTGGGATCACTGTTGCCAGCTGCTCACAAAACCTCACGGTCCTCTGAAAACATGAACCAGTAAAAACTAAATATTTGAAAGACACACATTTTCTAAAATGCTCATTTATAACGAGAGTGAATTAGAAAACAGAACAGTAAAGTGAAAACGTACTCTGTTACTAACGTAACCTCGGTTCCCTGAGATACGGGAACGAGTACTGCGTCTGCTAGACACATATGGGAAAAAAGCCTATTTCTCCTGAACTGAAGCCTTTTCATTCACGCAGTGAAACTGCACGCCCATTGGTTCATGCAGTGCTTAAAAAAACGAACCAATGGCTAGGCAGCGGAGCTGATGGGCGGGGCATCTGGCTATATAAGCGGGCGCTTGCCACAGGATTCTTGCAGCTACATAGCACGGATAGCAACGCAGTACTCATTCCCGTATCCCAGGGAACCGAGGTTACGTTAGTAACCATGTACGTTCCCTTTCAATACTACACTTGTACTGCGTCTGCTAGACGCATATGGGAACACAGTACAATCACGCCGTGCTAATGGCGGGGGGGCTGCCGGAGCCTATGGCGATGAAGCCCGCCAGAATGGGCGGGGCATCTGGCTATATAAGCGGGCGCTTGCCACAGGATTCTTGCAGCTACATAGCACGGATAGCAACGCAGTACTCATTCCCGTATCCCAGGGAACCGAGGTTACGTTAGTAACCATGTACGTTCCCTTTCAATACTACACTTGTACTGCGTCTGCTAGACGCATATGGGAACACAGTACAATCACGCCGTGCTAATGTAGTGGAACAACTAAAGGTATAAAACTTCCAAAAGCAACCAATGCTCATAGAGAAGTTAACAATAACCCAAGGCTAAGACGGGCTGAGCTTCCTAGGTCACTCCCGGCCTGGTTAATCATTCCAGAGTACTGGAACAGAGTACCGGAACGGCGCACCGGCAGGAACCATTCATCCAGACGTCTGCGAGAGGGCTCCTCTGGCGGAGACCACTCTAAACCCAGCTCTTCAACCGCTTTGGAGAGGATACGGAGAAGCTCAGCATCCATCCCGTCTTTAGTGGCGCTGGGCGCGGACGATGGCGAGGGGGTGGGGTCATTCACAGAGCCCAACAGCTCCTCTGCATCCGATGCTGCCAATGGCATGCTGTCATCAAGCAGCTCGTCCTCACTTCCCCCGAATGAGATCAGGTCGCTCGCACCAGCAGAGGGACGCTGATCAGACCGGGATAAAAGGACGGGGGAATACTCTCTCTGGGGCGAGAGCGAGACACGCAGGATCTGGGCCAACGTGGGCTTGCTCGTTGCCCCGCTGTTTTTTCCTCACAGGTCCCTAAGAGGAAGAAAACGGGAGGGCGAGGGGGGCGGAGTCGCTCTCTGAAAAGAAAGCAATCCGTGAGCGGAGAGAGGCAAGACTGAAGCTCTCACAGTGGGAGCAAATAGATCCCGTGAGCGCAGCTTCCGCATGGGATTTCCCCAAGCAGGAAACGCACTCTGTGTGGCCGTCATCGGTGTGCAGGGGAGACCCACACGAACCGCAGTAACGGCGTGACATTTGCAACAATGCCAATTTGTTCTTTTAGAAGCTCTTTTATATCGCCGGATGGCGGCAGGGGAACCGGACTGGAACTGCTGCGTTGCTGGAGCGGCGTAGAAGCAGGTCAGCCGTGCTGAGAGGTCCCGATTCCAGCTGCGAAGGCGTGTCAATGGCGAGCGGCTTCGGATCAGCTTGAGGACGTAGAGTCATCGCTGAAGGAGAAGAAATCTGAGAATCCTGTGGCGAGCGCCCGCTTATATAGCCAGATGCCCCGCCCATTCTGGCGGGCTTCATCGCCATAGGCTTGTGCAGCTCCGCTGCCTAGCCATTGGTTAATTTTTTAAGCACTGCACAAACCAATGGCCGTGCAGTTTCACTGCGTGAATGAAAAGGCTTCAGTTCAGGAGAAAAAGGCTTTTTTCCCATATGCATCTAGCAGATGCAGTACGAGTGTAGTATCGAAAGGGAACTGAACTCACTCCTCTGGGCCTGTCAGAAGTGGTGATGAGAACTTTGGGATTTGTCAGCTGATTGAAGTAAGCAGAGAACTCATCGGTTCCTTCATCAAAAGCCACCTGGATTTCAAACAAATTAGTTCCAGGTTAGGGTCAAAACTGTAAATGAGGTCTGAAGCAGTCAGCAGGTGGAATAGAGTTCACAAATCACCTCCTCGTCCTCTGGGTTGACTGTAGTTTCATCATATATTCTCTGGTTTTCTATTGTCTTGGGAACTTCCTTTGGTGGAGCCTGTAAAAAAGAAAATGTATGGAAACGCCAATACAAAAAAACAAGGTAACCAAAATTAACCAAGTTAATATAACAAACAATGTTACTTACTTCAGGAAGCAATGACTAATATACAGTAGGTTATATAATATAGTCACATATAAGTTATTACATATAGCCAAAGCCCCCACATCTGCCAAGAGCGTTAACTGTTTATATTTGAATAATACAGTTCTGCACATATCATCAAACCTGGACTCAAGATGTTTACACCAAAATTCAACAGCAATCATTCAGTATTCATTTATTTAGAATTTCCTTCTCAAACTCCACCTCCGCTTTTGCATGCAATTTAATCATACTGCATGAGAGAATCACTTTGAACTAGAAAATGACAAAACTGAAGTAAGCACACATACAGCATAGTTAATCATGTTTTAGTTTCCTTTTCATTTCAGAGCTAGTCACCCCAGGTCAACCCCAAGTCTTTAACACATGAATTGCAATCTCCAGAAAGTGAATGCTTTATTACAGCGCATGCTACATTAAAAGTTTTTTTTCATAAAACCTAAATATTGTGCTTTATGTGTATGTATTTACTGGTTGTGTGCAAGTCAATAAAGTCATTTAATCTGACTATATGACCATGACAAATGACATCAACTGAAGTAATTTTTTATGGGTTACATCCGAGTACAAACAACAAATGCAGGTTACCACCTTTTTTCTCAGTGATTATGATTTTGTGTTCCATCCCTGGATATTTACTGCCCCTCTGACCCATTAAATATTTTCTGGAGGCTCCACTGCATATAAATGCCATGTTATCATATGTAGACCATGGAGAGGCCTCAGAGGCAAAGAAAACATTCTTCTAAAAATAGAAAAGCCTCACTGCATGCATTAAAAAAATAATGTCAAGCAGATGTAACAGATACATTTTTAGCATGACTGTGGTTTAAAAAAAAACAAACAAAAAAAACATTTTTTGGATTCGCTTACATTTTTTTTAGACCATATAGACCATAATATTATTATAATACAAGATTTTTACTTTAATTGCCCATCCCTAACTGCAAAGAAATTGTTTTTGCAGAGAAAATGTGATATAGATTTACTTGATCATTATCTTCATTATCACCCCGTATGATTTTCTTTCTTCTGCTGAACACAAAAGATATTTTGAAGAAAGTGAATAACCAAACAGTTGCTATTCCCTTATTGACTTCCATAGTATGGAACAAAGTACTATGGAAGTTAACAAGAGCCAGAAACTGTTCATATTCTTCAAAATATCTTCGTCAGAAGAAAGAAACGCAGGCAGACAGGTTTGTACGGAAGGAAAATAAAGACAAATGTCTTTGAAACAAAAAAGCATGCTCAATTTCACTAACTGCATGCATTAACAGGGCTTGCATTTTTTAGGGGCTGAAATTGAACATATTTAAGCTTTAAGCGTTTACTTAAGCTGTGAATATTTCAATTCAAAATATTTCACACACATTTTCATGATCATGCATCGGTACTCTACTGCTATTCCTGCAGTTCCCGGATGTGCAATGCTGAATTTTCTGCCGAATTTGAACCACTGAATTTGTGGAAGCGAATTTGTAAAGTGAAATCAAATGGACTGAAATATTATACATCGTATTTTTAAACAGATTGAATATTTCGAATGTGAACTCTGGAAGGTGAATATGAATTACTGAATTTTAAATTGTGAAAATGTGTGTGAAATCTTTTGAATTGAAATATCCACAGCTTAAATAAACAACTATGTTGAATTGCAGCCCCTAAAAAAATGCAAGCCCTGAAAATACAAGGCATAAAAATGCAAGGACTGTTAATCCAATGCATTATTTTTTCAGTTAGAGCAACTCAACATGCAATTTGGTTTAAAAGACATCTGTCATTATTTTTCTTCCATATGTTTAGAATAACATCCAGGTTAGGAAGGTTGAGTAAATGATGCCATTTTCATTTTGGGTGGACTGTCTCTTTAAATGTAGTTTACTGAGTATCAAGATTTATGAGAGCTAGTCTGATTACAGATGCTGTGAAACATACCTGATCTCCAAGAACTTTTCTCTCTTTTTTCTTTTTCTTTTTCAGTTCCAACTTTTGCTGAAAGACAAACGACGATTTTAACCATTTGCAAAATACATGTTGCAGAGTTGCGCCTTTGATGATTAAAGACTGTGTCTCAACCCTTAGCGAGCTACAGTCGGTGCATTCCTAAAAGAGGTGTTTTAAATCATTCCTGTGAGTGAACTAATTCACTTAACGTTACATGCCCTTTTTGGGGCACCAACATTTTTTCCCCGCGTTTGGCTATTTGGTCATCATACATGTCCTGTCTTGTGCTGCCCACACTGCTGTCTATCCCGGCAGCTCGCTAGGTTTTGAAACACAGCCAAATTGTGCGTTCATGAGCGCTGCAATAAGTGTGTTAGTGAGATGTCACCTTTCTTTTCTCCTCCTTGAGTTTCAGGAACATGGCATGTCTGCGCTGCTTGTTTTTGATCTCAGACACGCTGAATGTGGGAGGAAAACAAGCTCCCGACTCTGGTTTCTTTTCTGTTACTTCAATCTCCGCCTGATCCATCTCCTGCACCCCAGTTTCGTCGGGTTTTACCTTTTGCTTGAGTTTCTTCGTCTTCCCCTTTTTCTTAGAAACACTTTCTGAAGTTGTTGACACGGTAGAATCCATTTTCTGCTGCTTCTGTCTAAATTCACGTGTTTGAGAAACTACTTCTGGTTGAACTGGAAGTTCCTGCGAGTTCTTCTTCTTCTTCTACCACAAAATGGTGTATTTCCGCCGCCAACTGGTATGGAGTGTGGATCAAAATGACTCCCCTCCCCCCTTTTTATATTCTCTCCCACAAATGAGTTATTTTAAGGTACTGAAAAATAAAACTATAGCATTCATTCGGTGTAATTTGCATTTGTACTTTTTCTAAATTTTGCACTAGAATCCTTCTTTCAGTCTCATATTTCTGACAGTACAGTATAACATGTTCCACTGTTTCTTCTTGTCCACAAAATTCACACCTTCCCGTATCATGTTTACCCATTTGATAAAGTGTACTATTTAATCTTGTGCGTCCAAATCTCATCCTTGATATTACTATCTCATCTCTCCTGTTTTTCCCTGCACTTTTCATCTCTCCCACTTTCCTTTGAATTCTGTAAAACCATCGACCTTTTTTCTCCTTATCCCATTGTTTTTGACACCTTTCCTCAGTCTTTTCTTAATAATACTCTTGATTTCATTCTTACTTAGACTAGCAATTAAGTTAATATCTGTATATTATAATAACTGCTTCTTTTTCTTCTTTATCTGCAGTTTCATTTCCCATACAAATACCACTGTAATCCCCATCATTTGAATTCTATATAACGTTTGCATTATTTCCATTAAAATGTCTGGTCTACTCTCCGAGTGACTGCATTGTAAACTAGCCAATGATGAACATTACATTTACATTTAGTCATTTAGCAGATGCTTTAGCTTTAGCGACTTACAAATGAGGACAATAAAAGCAGTCAAAACTAACAAAAGAGCAACAATATATAAGTGCAAATGACAAGTCTGGGTTAGCCTAACGCAGTACACGTAGGTATACTGTATATAGGTGTATATATACAGTATATATATATATATATATACAGTATATACACCTATATATAGTATACCTACGTGTACTGCGTTAGGCTAACCCATATATTTATAATATATATATATATATTATACACACACATATACACACACACATACAAAAAGAAAAACATGTAGATAGAATAGAACAAATAGAAAGCTAGTGTTGTTTTTTGTTTTTATTAAAATAAAAAAAGAAGATAAATATAGATAAAGTAGAATTAAAATAGAATAGAAAGTGCTAGAGTTAGATGGTCAAATAAAGATGGAACAGATGTGTTTTTAGTCATTTCTTGAAGATGGCTAAGGACTCAGCTGCTCGGATTGAGTTGGGCAGGTCATTCCACCAGGAGGGAACAGTTAATGTAAAAGTCTGTGAAAGTGATTTTGTGCCTCTTTGAGATGGCACAATAATGCGTTGTTCACTTGCAGAACGCAAGCTTCTAGAGAGCACATAACTCTGAAGTAATGAATTTAGGTAAATGGGTGCAGAGCCAGTGGTGGTTTTGTAGGCAAACATTAATGCCTTGAATTTAATGCGAGCAGCTACTGGTAGCCAGTGCAAATTGATGAACAGAGGTGTGACATGCGTTCTTTTCGGCTCATTAAAGATTAATCTTGCATCGGCGTTTTGGATTAATTGTAGAGGCTTGATAGAAGTGACTGGAAGATCATAAATATATGAACATAAATCTGAACAAATCACTGATTTCAAAGGTCTTATCTCTTCTATCCACTGTATTGCTAATAATAGTGCAATCATTTCCCCTGTATGAACAGATGTATGAACTCATCACTGATCCTATTCCTTACTGATAAATGAAATTCTGGAACAGTAAACGCTACTCCTGTCTTATTGTCTAAACTCTTTGATGCATCTGTGTAGATCTGAACATAGCTGTAGTACTCATTAGTATATGTCTGCACATTATATAAATTACATTCCTTACCCTTATTTTTCTGTTCTAACAATGTAAAATCTACTGTAGCATCTGAAAGTAACCAAGGTTTTATTACTGGTAACGGTACACACTCTTAAAAATAAAGGTGCTTCACGATGCCATAGAAGAACCTTTTTGTCTAAATGGTTCCATAAAGAACCTTTAACATCTGAAGAACCTTTCTGTTTCCCAAAAGGTTCTTTGTGGCGAAATAAGGTTCTTCAGATTACAAAAACGCAAGAAAGAGATGGTTCTTTTAAGAACCTTTGACTGAATGGTTCTTTGTGGAACCAAAAATGGTTCTTCTATGGCATCGCTTGAAGAATCTTTTGAAGCACCTTTATTTTTAAGAGTGCAGTTGGACTAACATTTAACTGATTAACTTTAAGTTATGTTGCTTTCTGTATCACTGTCCATCCAAAACTTTAAATTGTCCTCTTCTCTTTTTCCCAACAGGGCTTTAAAATATCTAGTGTTGGATGCTCTTGACTATGGCCTTGTAAATGAACCCAATAATTGTGTGATAACTGTACATTTCTCATTTCTAATGACATTCCCCCCATTTCAACTGTTTCCTATTCTCACTTTTATTGCTCTTCCTGATAAAAAAAATCCTTGACCCATCTATACATTTGACCTTTGATACCTAACTTCCATAATTTGATTAACATCACTTCTCTCCACATCATGCTTTCTCTATGTCAAAGAAGACAGCCACTACACTCTTTTTATTTATTTGTGCTTTTCTTATTTTGTGTTCTAAACACACAGCCGGATCCATTGTATTTCTCCCTCTCCTAAAACCACTCTGATATTTGGATAAAAATTGACTATTTTCCACATGATACATTAACCTTTCATTCACCATTTTTTCCATTATTTTACCAATATCAAAGCAATAGGTCTATAATTTTCTGGACTTGTACAATCTTTCTCAGGTTTACGTATTGGAACTATCACCGCCTCCTTCCAACTTTGTAGTAATTTTCCTTTCTCCCAAATTTTATTGTACATTTTTAATAAAACATCCTTGGATAATTCACTGAGATGACTTATCATTAAATAGCAAATCTGATCCATACCTGGAGCCGATTTCCTGGTTTTTCTAAGAGATCGATTTAACTCTGACTTCGTTAATGTCATATTTAGTTGATCATTATTGTATTCCTCACTCTGTATTATCTCTTTATACTGCTCCAATGCCCTTTCCCTTCCTCTTTTTCCCTCCTCACTAATATTGTCTAATTTATGTAATTTAACTAAATATTTTGCCAGCATTTCTGCTTTCTCTTCATCTTTTACAGCTGTTGTATCTCCATCCCTTAATATTGGATACCCAAACTCTCTTTTTATCCCAATCCATTCATGCGTTTTATCATTCCCCACACTTGACCTATTTCTGTTTCCCTTCAAACTGTTACAAAACTTCCTGCAAAAAACTATTTTTTTGTATTTTTAATGATTCTCACATTTGCTTGCTTACTTTTATATTCAATAAAATTCTGAAAACTATGGTTCTTTTTTAACATTTTAAAAGCTTTATTTTGAGATTGAATTGCTTTATCACATTCTTTTGTCCACCATGGTACAATCTTCTTTTTTTTCTTACCTCTCTTCTTTGGAATAGTCTGCCTTGCTGCTAACAATATAGCATTATAAATATCATTATTAACCTTATCAACCCTTTCAAAAAAACACTTGTCTACTCTTCCTGTATTACATTCTACTATACTTAAATTTACTTATAGGATAATGATCACTATACCTATAGGATAATGATCACCCCCTATTGTCGTTTCTCTAAACATCTCCCATAAGCATATACCCACCAGTGAATTTGAAACAAGTGTCAGATCAATAGCTGCTTCTGTTCCTGTTCTTACATTAATCCTTGTTCCCCTTCCATCATTTAAACATACTAAATCCTTAATCTCCATTAATTCTTCAATCACTATTCCATTCCCATCATTACAATTGTCCCATAACGTGCTATGAGCATTAAAATCTCCGCAACATATGATTTTCCCTTCTAAATGTGCAATCAGTTAATCCAATACCTCTAGTGATAGTCTTTTACATGGATCCTTTTTTTCTCCAAAACTTCTATTATTATAAATTCCAACTTCTTTCCTTTCCCTAAAATCTTATATTGTATTCCTTGTTTACAAATATTATACACCCTCCACCAATATTTTCCTCTCTTTCCCTGCATATACTATCATATCCTTTAATGCAAAAATCCTTTAGGTTTCTTGAATGCATATGATTTCTGGTTTCTTTTTAAACGCTTTTATAAAACCTTTAAACTCTTGGCCATTTGCTAACAAGCTTCTTGCATTCCATTCTACAATATTCAAGTTGTCTTATCACCTGCATGCGAGTTTAGTTAGTGTTGTCAAGGACTGGTTATGTTTAGCGTCCTCTAGCGGAGAGTCAGGTCACAAAATACGAATTTGAGAATAATAATAATAATACATTTTATATATATATATATATATATATATATAATTCATTATATCGATAATATATATATATAGCTCTGATCATAAGTGATGGCACTAGTCATCACACTTCAGTGAGAGTCCTTCTTCTTGGTGTCATAATCTATAATATTAAGTTGTAATATGTGGATTTAGTAACATTTTAAGATATTTAATTAATCAATCTTTTTTTTCTCCCTTAGTAGATTTCACTAGGAACTACAAAGATGGCAAACAACACACTGAATTAAACAGAAATGTTTGCAGTAGAAAAACAGAAAATAATGTATTGTAAAACATATTCCAGTAATCTATGTTTTATTTACAACTTCAAAACTGACTAGAACTGAAAACACAGGAACTTAAATACACAGACCAAACAAGGATACTAACTAGACACACCTGAACAAAATATTACAACCAACACAACGAAGGGAAACGTGCAAAAAGGAAAACAATGTGCATGTGGTTGTGACAGGGGGACGATAGGGATTAAGTTGTGACAGAATGATTTTTCAGTAATTATAAGACCACCAGTTATAGATCACTAGTGTAACGTTGGGAGGCATGACAACGCAGTCGTGGATCCAAGTGCAGGATTTATTCAAAAGAGTGGTCAAACAGGCAGGGACACACCAGCAAACAGGTATAATCCAGGGCGATTACAAAAGAGTAATCCACAAAACAGGCGAAGGTCAGGGCAGGCAGCAAACAATCAGAAACAAGGTAAACAATCCAAGGTCAAGAGACAAGGCTAGGCAAGAAAACAAGGAACTAGGAAACACGGAAAGGCACAGGAACTAGGGGACGCTACAGGGTAACAATACTAAGCAATGAATAAGTGAAAAAACAAGCTTTAAATAGGGTGAGACTGATGGAGGTAACAAGACACAGGTGAATGCAATCAGTGATCAAGCGTATAGGCAAAGGATTATGGGGAATGTAGTTAGTGAATGAGTGACAACAGTCTGGAGAGGAGCGCCCTCAGGAGGAGCTGGTGATTGTAACAACTAGCTTTTAGAAAATTGTATTCATCTTGTTGGGGTTTTTAAGATTTAGTGTTAGTTAAAAATTTTGTTTGACTGGATATGTTTACAATGTCTATTAGACCCCAATATTTAATTCTTTTTTAACTTGTAACGTTTAGTTAGGAATACTGTAAATATGTTTACTGTGGTTAGCTTTACAGTATTTATATTTAATAGCTTTTTTTTGCATGCAAATATCTTGCAACGTGCAAATATTTATGTTAAATTAATAAGTATACCATGACGTAAATAGTGAGGAATAATAAAATAATATATTATGTAACGTAATAATATACTTTCTACTGTGTTGTGTACTGAAAAGGATCGTTCAGATTATAAAATGGCAATAAGAAGATATGCAAAATAAATAACTCCCTAGAAAACATGTAGGGGTTGAACTTGAGCCTTGCAGGGTTGCATGGTGATTACATAATCAATGTTGCTTAAGCATGTTGTTCTACTTTGGCATAATGTAATGTCAGTAAACTGCAGGACCATCAGTCTGAATATAAAGAGTTTTTAAACTTGAGAGCGCTCACCATCCACATAGTTGTGTGATTTGGCAAAACTGAAAAAAGTTTGTCCTTGAACTGATTTCAGCTTCTGCAGACTCCTTCTGTTTTTAATGGCCGGTGTCTTACAATCACAAATTTGTGCCATGACTGCAACATCTGTATATAAGCTCTATTAAGTATTATTCTGCAGCTTTTCAGCTTACTCAGGAGCAAATTACCCTCCTCCATCCCCAGCTCCTCCTTTCGCCACAGTCAGGACTTGGCTTTCTGATATTCCTTGCTAATCAGACTCCTTTATCTTGAATAAAGTGTTAGACTTAAATATCATTAAGTACATTAATGATATCTGCCTTGTTCTGTTCTGTTAACCCTAGGGGGGTTATTATTGCTGCTCTCCCTGCTCATTCATGACAGGCTGCATGGATGGGCAAGGAGGTTTTTGCCCAGAACAGAATCATACCGCCAAACCAAACTTTATGCTAAGTATCTATCATTTTGACGATAGTGGTCCTGACAGAATTGTTCTTATTAAATACATTATTAAAACATCTTGTGGCCCCTGTAACACTTGGCTAGCATCATATAGCTGAGTCACATGTTTTTAATGCCCAAAATATTATTAACATGTGTTTAACAGAATGGAGTTGAGCACACACATGCTTTCATCCTTTGTCCTGAGGCCTGGCACTTCTGTGAGGTCAAACAACATTTGAGCAGTGAGTAAAAATGAGATTCTGAACTAGGGCTGGTGGTCTGAAAGTATTAAGGGCAAAGTATATTCTTGCTTTATTTCAGCATATATATATCTTTCTCAGTGACTCCAGTGGTTCACAGCGGTATAAGAGATATAAAGGTACTGAAGACTACTCAGTCTGGATTTGAAGGCTTCCTGCGAGACCGTTTCACCACTCTGACAGATGCAAAGGACAGATTCTTCTGCACTTCTGTTTATGCAAGATAGCGCTACAACACACATGTGAATGTGGCATTTGATGCTGCATGGTAAATGCAAAACGTTTAGACATGCCATAATAAAATGAAAAACATTTAGACATTTCATAGCACATGATATCCGTTATATGTTCTACTGCATGCTGTACTGTATATTACTCCTAACTGTAATGATAATGTCCTTATAGGAAAACTGTTAAGGACACCATCATTCAGAAGTTTGCGGGACCCTACGATCGTGGAGAATACTCTCCGTCTGTTCAGAAAACTCTGTATGATACACAAGTTCTGGTACTTGACAGAATTCCACAGATAAATCAAACTGATTTTAGTTTTGTGTGACTTTTGTTAGAAGTGTTTGCTAAGGTAAGCATTACTCATACAAGAGTTATTGGTCTCTTTAAGTGGTTTATTGCTTTATGTTACTCATTTACAAGTAAATGTACTTAAAAGCAATTGTAAAAAGAAAATGACATAAGTCTTGTCATTACTGGAATCCCGTAGGTAGAAGAAATTGAGATAATTATGCCAAATCAGCATTATTTCATCACTGACATGACAAAAATGGGACTCTCAAACAAGGATGAGGTGAGTGACAGAAATCCATTGGAAAATTTTGGGTTATCAGTTCAGATCAGTCTGAATATACTTCTGTATTGACACAGGACAAAGTCGAGAGTTTTTAGGTTCTGTGACAAAATCAGGAAGTTTGAGACTGCTACTCTTAAAATGATTTATTGCCAAACTTCTACAAACCACACACACAGGAGGAGGATGTATTGTTATCCCATCTTAGAGATGATAAAGTAATGATGTTTCTTTGTTTGTATTTATATTTAAAAACCACATGTCACATTATGTTGTTGTGCTTTCGTTTCAGGTTTATCTTCCCCTTGATAATCCATCAGGAAACATCACAGGCACTATACGCAGAAAACCACGAGCCAAAATGTAGAGAAAGACAACATTCACAAACCAGATATCTCATACAAATAAAAGTTAGGCACTAGCATGATTATCTGTCTAAACAGTCAACAAACTTGATTTTTTAAAATTAGAAACATATTTTTTTCTGTAATCACACAAGTAAAATAAACAAATAATATCAAAATATGTTTAAATGAAAACATTCACATCATGGATAAATATATATTAATAAATATAGTCCAAAAATGTGTACGTGTTCGTCATTATAACTTCTTTGTTTGAATCCATTTATATTAGGTTTTATATTTGAGTTTTCAGAGTTTTAACATTGTTTTCCTAACGAGTTTAAAACCAAAACGGTCAGATGTGTTAAAATTTCGGTTTTTGTTTGAGTTGAAAGGTGTTTACAGCAGGGGTTTTTGTAGTAACCACAACAATTAAAATCATTATGAACATTAAAGAACAATTAGCTTCATCATCACCTTACTATAATAAGGAATTCATTTTAGAAAAAAAAAAAACTGAAATAGATAAACATTTATGGGATTTAATTGTTTTAGGAGATTTTTAAGTTGAAAACTGATTATTACATTTAATGATCCATTTTTGGAGATATTATTCAAATACACATATGCACAAAAGGAAGGAAGTCACACAGCACTGTAATGAGGACCAGGAAGCGGATTTTTTCAGCAATCTGAAAAAGCACCATTTATTGCAGTCTACGCTCACTTTAGTTTCATCTTTTAAAACACCCTGTATCACAAGCCGCTGTAGATTTACAGTGTTGTGTTGGGTTTCAACAACAACAATTCACCAATTCATCAGGAATCACATTGTTAGTTACAGAATGAAATAACTCAACTGAATTCATAGCAGCACAAAGCACTGTCATTCTGACAGGATTCCTGCAAACAAACCCCTAATGCATTGAGCATTTATAGCTGTAAACCACAGCAAATTAGGGATGCACGATATTATCGGACAGATATCCGAATCGGCCGATAATTGCTTTAAATGTACATATCGGCATTGGCCCGATATGAAAAAATATGCCGATGTGTCTTGCCGATAAGAGGAATATGTTAACTCACATGTGCTCAGGGTGTACTAGCAATTAGATCACATCAGAAGTGTGACTCATTCTGGAAGCAAAGTTTTGCCTGAATGGTGATTAGATTCACTGCTTTGGATAGCTGCATTTAAACTGAGAATGCACGTACAGAATGACGCGTTTGGTGTGTGAGTAAACAGTAATAGCATGTGCAGCGGCAGCCTCCTAATGACCGTTCGGCGTTCGGTGTGTGAGTAAACAGTAATAGCATGTGCAGCGGCAGCTTCCCCCGGGTCCTAACGCCCGTTCGGTATGGAGTTATAAATCCGTAGGGGGCGCTGTTGGCCTACTTTTAATTAAATTAAAGTAAAATACACAAATAACATTTAGACCAGGGATCCTCAAATCTGGCCCACGAGATCCACTTTCCTGCAGAGTTTAGCTCTAACCCTAATCAAACACACCTGAGTATACTAATCAGTGTCTTCAGGATCATTAGAAAATCACAGGTAAGTGAGTTTGATCAGGGTTGGAGCTAAACTCTGCAGCGCATTGGCCCTCCAGGGTAAGATTTGAGGAACCCTGATTTAGACTGTGTTTCTGATTAAATTAAGCAGTAATTGATGTCATAAAATCATGAGTATGTTTTGATTTAAAGGTCAGAAGCTATCACTTACATGAATAAAAAAAAATCACAAACATGAACTTTTTATAATTGTATATATACTAATTTATGCATTAATGTGTTGTACATGTTATTTTTTAAAAGCAAATTATGAGCTCTAAAATATTTTTAGAATCTTTACAACTCTTTTGCTTTAGACCATCTACAAATGTTAAATCTTAAAATAAAATGTTAAGATTACTACTGCATCTTTCTGAAAAAAATTCAGCGATTGATACACAGTTTATTTATAATTATTTTTAAAGCTTCAATGTACTGTCATTATAAAAGAACTTCATTATTGTTTATTTAATTCTAACAAATAAGCTCTTGTAAAAAAAAATTTTTTTTAAAGAATTTGCTACACGGTGTTGTTTCCAAACAAAAGGAAATATATCGGTATCGGCATTGGCTATCGGCCAAAATGAGTTGAAAAATATCGGCAAAGATCCAATATCGTGCATCCCTACAGCAAATACATCATTTTCAGACATTTGATCATTTGTGCTGTTACTTTATCTCAACAAATTTTTTATCTATTAAAAAACAGAAAAAAACCCACCAACCAATAAAAATCAAAACGGTGGCAGCAACCTCCCTTTCACTTCTGTTCAAATGTACTTCATGCGTAACAGAAACATCTTCAAGAACAGTGTTTCAATTTTAGTTCAAGTCATTTTTCATTTTACATCACAGATCACATTATTAAACCAAGCATTTAATCTTAAAAGCAATAATGATTTATGTACAAGTACACAAAGTGAAGGTAAAATCTGAATGAACAAGTTAAACGCAGGTAAACAAAAAACAGTAAATATGCCTGTACAGCAGAATGAGACCTTAAAAGCAATACATTCACCATGTTTATTTATTAAGATGTATAAAATGAATTAGTTCTGCCTGCAGTTACCCTGCGCACCTGCTGTGATTGTCTTCCATGCATCCTTGTGGCTGCAGCAGCTATGAGACGTTACTTTTTAAGTGCTGGGTTTGGAGAGGCTTGACGTGATACTCATAGATCTTCAGTGCAGGACCCAGTTTTATTGACAGTCCGGTCAGAACGTCATTTCGAGTCATTAATAAAAGGGATTTGCCATCGATTTCCTGCCGGGGGAAAGTTTAGCAAAAAAGACACAGGAGATAAATAATAAAATGATATTATTTATTCATAACACGATTATCTTATAAAATGACGAAGTAAATTTTATAAGATACTGATCTAGGAAACTGCACAATTACTGTCAAATTCCCATAATTTTTTTTTTATACAGCTGACTGTGATTGAGAGATTAGTGACTGAGCATTTAGTTACGCATGTTAAAAAAAGTGCATGCCAACATAAATTCAGGGAAATTGAGTTTTAATATTCCAGATCTAAAGTATATCATACATAATAAAGATTAGCTCAACTAATAATATATTGCCTCAAACATGGAAATACAAGCCACATTACTGTACATTTGTTCTGTTGAGAAGTGGGGGTCAGACCTTTCAAGAAACGTTTGGGAGAAATGCAAGGATAAAATGTCACTGTATTTCTAATGGTTGGAAAAATAATGTCTTATCTTGTTCAGCCAATGTTTTGTAAAATGTCTATTGCTTTTCTGTTTTCAATATTTCCTTTTTTCGCAGACATTTCCTCCAAATTGGCTAAAGAATATTTTATTTGATAAGTA